CCCTGTGCTGTTTAACATTTTTATCAATGACTTGGATGCAGACACAAACAGCATACTTATTCAGTTGCCAGATGACACAATCACTGCTGGGGGAGGGGTACCTAGAACTTGATGACAAGTCAGGATCCAAAGAGCTCTCAAAGGGCTAGAAAGTTGGGTAATGAGATGAAATGCAATAGGATTGATTGTAAAGTCATACACTTGGGCTTGGAAAACCAACTTGATAAAATATAAGATGGGGGAGACCTGGCTAGTGAGCATTAGTCTAAAAACAGCTGAGAGTTTTAGTGGATGGCAAGCTTGATGAGAGCCAGCAGCTATATGGAAGCCATGAAAGCTGAGGAGTTCTTGAGTTGCTCTAAGGAGCATAGTGAACTGTGCTAGGGAGATGATGGTCCCTGCTGTCCTCTGCCCTGGCTGGCCAGACCTGCAGTGCTACGTTCAGTTCTGGGGACCACATTTTAGAAAGGGCACTGATAAACTGGAGATAAGCATCCAGAGACGGACAGCAAGGATGGCAAAGGACCTTCAGAGCAGATGTCAGCAAGCCCCTCTATTCATGCCAGCTCTGATCATCATACATGGCTCCGCTGAAAGAACTAAGGATAGTTAACCTGCAGAAGAGGAGTCTTAGGGGGACATGATAGCCGTCTGTAAGTATTTGAAGATCTCAAATATGGAAGAAGAATTAGGTTTGTTCTATCTTGCCTTCTAAGGCAGATCTGGGTGCGGTGGTTGCTGGAAATAGTGGAAGAAGGATCAGCTTTGATATTAGGAATAGCATGAAAAATGAGAGCTGTTCCAAAGTGGACTAGGCCACCTCGACTGGTAGTGGAAGACCCCCAGGATTGGAGGTCTTCAAGAAAAGGTTGGCTGAGCACTTGTCATTCTGTTCAGCTATGTGGTGGACTAGGTGACCTCTGAGGTCTCTCCTAATTCTAAGATTCTGTGAATGAACTCTACTCCCCCACCCCCATCCCAAGGCCTCCCCCTGACTCAGCTGTTAGCATTGAAGGTGAGAATGGAAGAAGGAGAGATCATTAAAGGGACTCACTGAGACTTGACCTGCACCTGGATCCCCCTTCATCCCTGTGCAGCCAGCCTGACAGGGGGTGAGGTACTCAGTGCGGTTCCAGGTGTCACACACAGGGTTGAAGTCACTCTTGGAGCAGGAACACTTCTGGGTACAGTTTAGGAAGTCTTCTTTTTCAAGAAGAGAGCTGGGAAGAAAACAAGGTCACCCAATCAGCTTTTCCCTCATGGTAACTGCTCCCTCCCCTCCCACCAATGTCTTTCTATCTGTCCTAAACCAATCATGATGTTTCCCAAAGAGTAATAACCTCAGGAATCCTGATACTTTTTCTAGACTCAACTATAAAAATGGGGATTCAGTATTCAATTAACGCTGAGAATAATATTATTGGTATTGGCATTGTATTCTGTCAAGTTACTAACAGTTACAGAGTCCTGTGCTTGGAGCCGAAGGAGATGCAACATTTAACTGAGATACAATCACCCCCTTTAGGAAGCAGCCAGAGCAGCCCCCAACTTGGGGAAGGTATCATCATTTTTTAATAATTTTGAATCCTGGATGGCCAAGTGGATCTTTTTGCATGTCCCCCATCAAAATAACTCTCTGCTTAGCTCCATAATTGAAAGCCACTCCTTGCTGAGATGATATGTACCAGCCACGCCGAGCTAGAGCCAGCTACTCTGCAGCTCAAACTGCCATAGCTGCAACAACCTTCTCAGATACAAATTTCTCTAGGGTTTTTACAGATGAAGCAATTGAGGCCCCAAAAGGTTAAATGCCTTTGCCCTGGGTCATAAAATGTCAGAGCTAGAAGGGACCTTAAATGATACTAATTAAATAAGTGACATTTATAAGGGACTTTAAGATTTGCAGAGCATATCATACATACAAGATCTCACTGAATCATCAGAACAGTTTTGTGAGGTAAGTACTTCATATAGTATCTCTATTTTACAGGTAAGGAAACTGAAACTTGAAGATGTTAAGTGACTTGCCCAGGATCATGCAGCCTTGCTAATGTCAAATACAGGAACTGAACCCCAATCTCTCCTGACTCCAAGTCAAGTGTTCTTTCCACTACACCCCAACCCACTGTCTCTTAGAGATGATCTAGTATAAGCCGTTCATTTCATAGGAAGTTAATGACTGAGAGACAATGTCAAGGATGCAGTAGAATTTAAGTCTTTTGAAGTAAATGACTGGTTTAGGGGATCTTGGCAGTGGGTCTTTGTGTGTGGCTAGCACAATACCTGACATACAAGAGATGCTTAATACTTATTGAATTGAGTTGAGGTTTGGCTAGAACTCAGGTCTCCTGACCCCCTGAGGCTCCTGGAAACTCACTGAGGGATCCAGCATGAGGCATAATTAGAGTCTGTATACTGGAGGACCAGGTGAGCCCTTTGTGGGCACAGTTCTAGGGTAGGTACTGTGAGGGAGCAAGGGAGGGAGGAGGCATGTCTCTGCCATCAGGGAATCTCTGGGCTGAGGTGGAAGGCATAGCCCCTGCCCTCAGGGAGCTTCTGGTTTGAAAGACAGATGGGATTTCTGTTTTCAGAGATTCCCTAGTCAGAGATGATGAGATTCTGCCCCCAAAGTAGCTCTGAGTTTGAGAACTGGTGAGAAACAGCCCCTGTCCTCAGTGAATTCCTCATTTGAGTCCAGGATCTGAAGGAGAGGTAAGAACTGCACCCAGGACATGGATGTAAAATAGAAAAAAAATGAAGGAGAGAATACAACATAAATAATCTACAAGCTCTGAAGGAATGCTCAGTGAAGGAATAAGTAAAGCTAGTAAGGTTAATCAAGGAAAACTTCCTGGAGGAGGTGGTTTAGAAGGCAAATACATAGAGGGGCAGAAGAGAAAGGAGGAGTATGTATGTCACTGGGGAATCTGGATGGTAATGAGGGTGGGAGGAAGCCCTGGGGCTGGAGGGAAGGCAGGTAAGCAAAATCTCTATCATAGGGACAGAAGTATAAGGTGGCAGATTTCTGCTTCTTATAAGGAAGAACTTCCTAACATTTAGAATTGTCTCCCAGTGGGACAAGCTCCTTCATAAGGTTTTGAACTTTCTGCCATGGGAGTTATTTAAATACTTTATGAAGCCCCTGTTATAGACTGGCCCCAATGCTCAGGGTCATAGGGAAGGAAGGAGGAGGAGGAGGAGGAAGAGGAAGAGACAAAGAAGGACAAGAAAAAGGAGGAAGAGGAGGAGGTGGAAGAGGAGATACAACCTCTGTCTCTCAAAGGCTTGGTATGGTATTCAAGTACTCAAAGATCAGTCATGATTTAAAGAGTGATTATTCTTGTTCTTCTTGTCCCACAGAGAAGAGCTGGGAACAGTGAGTAGAAGTTACAGGGAAGCACATTCTAGCCCAAGAGAAGGAAAAACTTGTAGTTCAAAACTATAATAGGCTACCTCATGAGGTAGTGTTCAAGCACTGGCTAGGTGACTGGCTGTTGTTGGGGATGTTGCAAAGGAGAGTCATGCTTGAGGTAGGGGTTAGATGAGTTCCTAAGGTGACTTCCAACTCTGAAACTCCCAGAAATTCTGAGGAACTCAAAGAGTTTGGGATGAGGGCTAGGTAGAGGCCAGGTTGGGAAACCCAGATTCTCCAAGATGGCCAGTGATCTGTGGGGTAAAAGAGGGAGGGGGCCAAGCAACAAACAAGTACAGGAAGTTGGGATGATGATGAGGGTGATAATGGATGATGGGCAATGAATGATGATGATTTTTGGCACCTGAGGAAAATTCAGTTGAGCCAAATTGGGAGGTGGAGGCTAAAGATGCCATTCCTAGGTTGAGGTAGAATAGAGACAGAGGTTATGGGAACTGAGAAGGTTGAGGAACCAGGAGGCCAGGGCATCTGAAGAAGGTGGAGACTGGAGAAGAGAAACCATGAGCCAGGTGCTGAACTTGTTGGAGAAGAGAATAGGTAACCTGCAGGTCATAGGCGATGGCTACAAGGTCCCAGACATGACAGCGAGAGCTTTAAAGGAGGAAAGATTTAGAGGGATTGTTGACTGTTGATGGCAGTGGGAGACTCTGGAATGGCAAGTGAGGCTTATGTCAACTCCTCCTCCTGGCCTGGTGTCAGGGGTTTGAAAATGAAAGAGCAGCTAGCTTTGGAGAAGGTGCCAAGAGTGTGGGGGCTTCAGAAGAAGGCTTCAATGAGCACAAGAAGATAGAAGGCATATGAGATGAAGGGGAATTTGTTAACAATAGATGAGAGCTCCAGAAGGCCCAGTGGAAATGGAGAGGAGAGGAAGAGAGAGAGACTGAGGAGGACAGCTGTTGAGGGCTGCCTTCTATACTGTCTTCTCCTCCTCCTGCTCCAGTTCCATGCTGATGGAGGTTATAGGTCCCCAGGCCAGGTAGGGAAGGGGAGGAGTACAATGGCCATGGGACTTCGGGGTGGTGTGAGGGAGCAGGCCAATTGAGTGGGCAGTGGCCCTGACCAGATGTCCAACACCTGGAGCAAACCCTGGCCACCCTCTGTTCATCCCAGTTCTGATCGTATCTCTGATTCCTACAGAACCTCAATGTTCACAAAGTACAGTCATTCTTTGAAAAGTGTCATGCAAGTCTTAGTGTACCCCATTTTCCAGACAAGAAAATAGAGGTTTAGAGATGTTTGTCTAAAGTCACATGGATAAGAAGCAGGAAATCCAGAGATTAAAACCCTGGTTCTGGTCTCCAAATTCAGTGTCTTTTGTCCTTCCCAAGTGACAGGCGTCCTGGGAGGGCAGATGGGGTCAAGCCAGGTCCTGGGGTCAAAGTGGAGGTGAACTACTACCATCCTGTTGTTATGACACTCATATAGGGGAGGAAGTAGGGAAGGTAGAGACCAAAAATCCTAGCACAGAGCCTTCTTTCCCTTGAGAAAAAAACAAAACAAAACAAAAACTGTTGATGTGTCTAAAACTGTCTTGGCATGTCTGACACAAGGGGTGGGAGCAGAGGCTGGAAAAACTTGGCTGCCACTTTCTGTGTAGTGGGACCAGAGCCAGGTGGCATTGGACAAGGGGATGCTGCCCAGCGAAGGGGAGTTTTCCAGAGCAAACTTTGCCAGGGCTTCCAAAAGCGGGGCCAAGGACTTGAGAATCTGGCTTCCAATGAGAGAGGAAGTGCAATGAAATGGGGTGAAACTGGCTTTGGGGCTAGAGGAGTGAGGGTTTTATCTTGGTAATGCTCCCTGTGAACCTAGGCAAATAAATCTCATCTTTTCTCTGGGCCTCAGTTTCCTCTGAAAAATGAGGGGCTTAGACTAAATGATCTATAAAGTATTTTTTTACTTCAAAATTCTCTGATCCGTGGTCATACACATCATCCTTATGGGTTGTGGTAGTCCCTAAGGATATATAGAGTCCAGGATATCCAAAGGCAGGGGAGGAAACTGACACATCCCTGGAGGAGTCTGGGGATAGGTGTCACAGTCAGTCAGTCAACACATGTGGATGGACTGACGTTCTCAGCTTTGGCACCACTGGATACAGAGAGGAAGCCTAATGAACACTATCTTTGCCTGCAGAAGGGATATTTTCTGTGAAAGAGAGGGAAGGGGAAGTCCAGTACTGGTCAATAGAGAAAGAAGAGCCTCTTGGAGGGTTCCAGAAGGGGATGTTGAACAAATATGAAAACTAAAACTTACACAAAATAAGGGAAGACAAAATACTTAACATTTAAAGTAATTTTATGTCCTGTGTCCTCCCTGGGACTGGGGGAGGGAGGCGCAGGGGTGAGAGGGTTGGTCCTCAAGTTCAGAGGCCGTGTTTCTCATCTAAGACTAGAGAATCCTGGAGGGCAAGGGTCATACCTGCCTCCCTCCTCTCAGTCATGAGCACCTCCCACTGGACCAGTATTAGAGAATTGGGCTTAACACACAATAGATCCACAATTAGTCCAAATACTTGACTGGTTAGGGTAGAAGGAGAAAACAGTAGAATGAAGATCCTAAGGGGAAGGAGCCAGGCTGGGGCTTCTATTTCTATGTACAGTACTTTGGGCAGCTAGGTGGAGCAGTGGACAGAATGCTGAGCCTGGAGTCAGGAAGACCTGAGTTCAAATTATGCCTCAGACACTTACTAGCTGTGTGACCCTGGGCAAGTCACTTAATCCTGTTTGTCTCAGTTTCCTCATCTGTAAAATAAGCTGGAGAAGTACATGGCAAACCACACCAGTATCTTTGCCAAGAAGACCCCAAATGGGTGAAAAAGAGTCAGACATGACTGAAAATGAACAACAGTAATTCTATTTTTATCAGGGTTCCAAACTCTTGATTAGGGGCACACTGAAGGGAGGAAGGATGACAGTGGGTGGGGACAGAGCCTGAAAAGCAGCCAGAGAATTGTAAAGGCCAAAGGGGACCATAAGTATGACCTTGGGTCAGTCACTTGCCCTCCTTTCTGTAAAATTAGGCAACTGGACGAGAAGATCCCTGAGGTTATCACTAATTCTCTTTATATGTTCTAACATTCCATGCTCTTCTATAAAACTCCTAGCACTGATAATCTATGTTCTAGGGGTTTTTCAACTCTGACATTTTATGTTCTATATTCCAAGGTCCTTCTTAGCTCTAATATTCTATATTCTATGTTCTAAGGCCTCTTACTGCTTTTATGTTCTGTGTTCCAAGGTTCTTTGAAGTTTTGGCATTCCTTGATTCTAGGGTCAGGGTCAGGGATGTTTGGGAAATTCTGTTCTGATATCAGAGTCAAATGTGAGCCAACAAAGGGGGCCCCCAAGGGATATGGAATCTTTCTGGAGAAGACAGAAATGTTAATAACTTCACCAGCTGTCTCAACAACTTTCAAGTGCCCTAGAAGATATACTGGAGACAAAGTAGTGGGAGGGGAAGGGGAGGAAGGGTGGAAGGGAGGTTGCTGAGGATTAAGTTGCCTGGAAATGGTGAAATAGAAGGGACAACTTGGTCCTCTGTGGTGAAGCAGAAGGCTGGGGTGGGACGGGGGGCTGGCGGTGATCTCTTCCTGCTCCCTTAGGAACAAGAGCCCCTCAGCATGATCAGGCCCAAGGCCTTTAAACTCCGAGTTCTCACTCTGGTACGATTGGAGGGGAGCGTTGAGACCAGTGTCCTGACCCAATCCCCAAATCTAGAATACTACTTCTCCTGCCACACAAAAGCTTTTCTCCTTTTCTAAGTGGGGAGTTTCAGTGGAGATTTCATAGCCCCAAGTGGAGCTGAAGCCCATTTACCTAGGGCTTCCTCTCTGTCAGTCAGCTAGCATTTAAGAGGCTAAAAAAATGCCCCAAATAGTTCCTACTCTCAAGAGGGCTCAGACTAATAGGGGGAGGGGAACCACATGCAAACAGGTACAAACAAGATAGATTCAGGACAAATTGGAAATACTCTCAGAGGGAAGGTGCCAGCATTCAGGGGACCAGGAAAGACTTCTTACAGGGATTTGAAGGAAGCTAGGAGGCAGAGTGCTGAATGCCTCTTCTGCCTATGGCATGTTCTCTGTTCTAACGGTCCACCTTCTCTCTCATTTCTGCCTGTGCCATCACCGTTCACGGATGTGAATGGCCCGTATATGAAATCTTGGGGCTGTTTGTTGTTTTTTGCTTCTCCTCTGTCTCTCAGTCAGCAAGTCCCATTAATTCTACGCTGGCAATTCCTTTTGCATTTGTCCTCTCCTTTTTATTCTGACTCTGCCCCCACCCCCGATCTTGGCCCTGATCAGCCCTTGGACTAATGCAAGAGCCTCTAAGCTCCCCTCTGAACATCCACTCTTTTTTCCCCCCTTTCATGCTACACACACAACCAGACTAATCTTTATGCAGAGATCTGGTTACAGTCACTCCTCTGCTCTTGTGTACCAAGTTACAATCATAAGATCAAGCTTTTGATAAGATAATAAATTTAGAGCTGAAAGGGACCCTGGAGGCTAGTTTGTCCTGTCCCCTCATTTTACAGATGAGGAAACTGAGGCACAAAAAGGTTAAATGACTTGCTTAAACCACACAGGTGGCAGGACTGGAATTCAAACTCAATTCTAATGATGAAATCTAGTATTCATTCAAATCCCTATGGATGGAGGCCTGGGATTCAAGGTCTCCATACTTTAGCTATCTTTCTAGCCTCACGTCTATGTGCTCTGTGCTCTAGTCAAACTGGATGACTTTCTTTGACTCCCATCTTTCCCTCCCTTTCCCCCCACCCCATCCCCATCACCTTCTGGGAGTTCTAGCCTCACTGCCTTCACCCATACTATCTTAGAACACCCTCTCACTATGTATCATCTATCTCTTAAAAATATAACTCACATGTTACCTCCTCCAGGAGGCTTCCCCTGATCACTAGGTTAGTAATGGACTAAACTTTGTATCTCCCTCATACCCAGCACAGGGCTCTGCACACAGTAGGCACTTAATAAATAACAGTTGAATATTATGGTCCCTTCTACCCCTAATATTCTCTAAGTACTGTTTCTTGTACTTTCAGGGCAAGTTCTCTGGATTTTACAAAGTGATCACTCAGTGATATGGATGACAGTGATCCCTGCTAGTATTTGAATAAGAGAGGGATAGAGGAGAGGCCGCCACCACCATCACCAAGGCTCTCTTTCCTTTCCCAGGTAAGGAACACTTGTAAACCTCTACTCACTCTCTCAAAGCTCCCAACCTAGTCAGAATCTGTCATTAGAAGAATAGTATTTGCTTATCTGGTTGTAGCTAATTTTAACTTGTCTCTACCATAACGGTGTAATGGTATTGACAAACATTTACTACCCCTTGGTATATGTTTTCATGGATGCCTTCTGGAGACAATATCCCTTCTTTTATGGCCTAAACTAGGGATTCTCTTGGAGAAGGAAATGACAAATCATTCTAGTATCTTTGCCAAGAAAACCCCAAAATGGGGTCATGAAAAGTTGCATGTGACTGAAATGACTGAACTACAAAAGGGATTCTCTAATTGGAGAAATTTCAGATCTAGTAGAAGGCTAGGACTAGTGGAGAGATTTTGAGGGCAAGTAACATCTTGTGGGGCTCCTCATTTCCTGCTTCATGGATTACCACCTTGGCCTATGCCAAAGATCTCTTTTCTTACTCACCTGGGCCCGTAGACATTGGCGATAGGGTGGGTGGGGCAGCCCATGAAGAAGAGTGGCAGACCAAATACTACACAGATGAGGCCCCCTGTGATACCAACAGCTGCACAGCGTGTGGGGCCCAAGTGGAGGCGATGAACCAGGATTCCCCCGGTCATGATGCCCACTATGGCTGCAGGAATGCTGATACTACCAATGAGCAGGTTGGCGAAGGAGGCTGTGACAGAGAACTGGCGCTCCAGGAACTTAGGCAGAAAGGTGGCCATCCCAGCCACCATGGAGGACATGTTGACCTGGGCCAGGACCACAAGGAGGAAGATGGGGTGGCGCAGATTCCGTAGTAGCACTTGGGGGAAGACTGTCAGGGAGAGAAAGAGAAGATCAGATCAGAGTCATTCCTGCATGGACAGTATGAGGAAGGGACGTCAGAAAATAGATGAGCAGTATTAGAAGGGACTTAAGAACAAATAATCTTACAGCCAGAAGGAACTTTAGAATGTGGAACACAAGACATCCCTACTAGAAGAAAAAAGAATGTTGGAACTAAAACTAAAAGGGTCTTTAGAACATGGGATTCATCCACTTCTTTGACAAACATTGGTAAGTATTAGGGCCTAAAGTACCATACTGGGCATTCAACTGAGACACAAAAGTTTAGATTGGAGTCTAGTAGGAGGATAAGGAAGAAAAATAGATGTTAGAACTGGGGGGAATCTTAGAAAATGCCATAGAATGGTAGGGGTGGAAGGGCCCTTAGAACATATATTCATTCACTAAGCAAATATGTATTAAGTACCTATTACAAAGACACTAGGGATACACAGTTTAGACAGAATTCTGTGTTCTAAGGTCCCTTCCAACTCTCAGTCAGACAGTACCTGAGGGGAGCCTTAGGAGAAGCCAAGGGTTCTGATTGGAAGAGGCGAGAAGTGAGTGCATTCCAGGATACAAAGACAGGAAGTAGAACGTCCAGCTCAAAGAATAGCACACCTGCCAGTTATGCTGGAATGTCAGGAGCATGAAGGGGAATAATGTATAATGTCTGGAAGGGTCAGCTGGAGGCAAATGCTCTCTCTCTCTTTCCTCTGATTTGCTTCCTCTAATTCCATTCATCCTTCAAGGCCTAGCTCCAGCCTGCTATCCACTAAGAAGCCTTCTCTGATTCCAGCCTACCTCCATTCCTACTTCCTCTAGCCCTTATTGCTTGGGCTCATCATTCGGCGTCTACCATGAACTATTCCCTAGTCCCTACAAGGACACTCTAAAGGTCTCTCTGAAGAACTTCGGAATCAATTGTGAGACATTGGAGACACTGGCACAGGACCACCCAGTATGGTGTGCCTGCATTAAAGAAGGCACTGTGCCCTAAGAGTGAAGCAGAATTACAGTAGCTCAAAAGAAACGTGAGGTACGCAAACTTAGAGACATCTCTACCCCAAATGGTAGAGCCTTCAGAGCTTGTATTGGTCTGATCAGCCACTGTTCGTTGACCTCACCCTTGTGATGTTGTTTTGGTCCTCTTCAAGGATGAAGGACAGCTATTCCCTAGTGTTATTTAGAAGATAGAACATCGACTGTAAGAGCTGGAAGGGAAGTCAGAAAATAGATGAGCAGTACTAGAAGGGACTTAAGAACAAATAATCTTACAGCCAGAAGGAACTTTAGAATGTGGAACACAAGACATCCCTACTAGAAGAAAAAAGAATGTTGGAACTAAAACTAAAAGGGTCTTTAGAACATGGGATTCATCCACTTCTTTGACAAACATTGGTAAGTATTAGGGCCTAAAGTACCATACTGGGCATTCAACTGAGACACAAAAGTTTAGATTGGAGTCTAGTAGGAGGATAAGGAAGAAAAATAGATGTTAGAACTGGGAGGAATCTTAGAAAATGCCATAGAATGGTAGGGGTGGAAGGGCCCTTAGAACATATATTCATTCACTAAGCAAATATGTATTAAGTACCTATTACAAAGACACTAGGGATACACAGTTTAGACAGAATTCTGTGTTCTAAGGTCCCTTCCAACTCTCAGTCAGACAGTATGCATTTGTTGAGCAACTACTGTGTGCAAAGCACTGTGCTAAATGCTAAGGATACAAAGAAAGGCAGAGGGCAAAAGGGAATCCCTGTCCTCAAGAAGTTCAGTCCAAGGGGCAGTTAGGTGGTTCAGTGGCTACAAAACCAGCCCTGAAGTCAGGAGGACCTGAGTTTGAATCTGACCTCAGACCAAACACTTGCCACTTACTAGCTGTGTGACCCTGGGCGAGTCACTTAACCCCAATTGCCTAAAAATTAAAAAAAAAGTTTAGTCCAACGGGGGAGGCAACATACTGATATTCTTTGTTCTATTGTGCCTTTGAGATCTGATATTTTATGTTCTGTGGTTCAGAAAAATAGAATCTCAGAGCTGCGTGGGACCTCAGAGGTCATCTAGTCCCACCTGCGCCTGTACATAAACCCTCTCTGTGACATCCCCAGTGAGTGGTCATTCAACCACCACTTGAAGACCTAGAGTGAAGAGGCATGCCTAGATCCCAAGGCAGCTCATTTCACTGTTAGCTCTAATTGCTAGAGTTTTTCCTTAGGCAGAACTTCATTTCTCCTAGTTCTTTTCTCTTGGGTCAAGCAGAACAACTTTAATCCTTTTAAGATTTAAGCCACAATTCTAGCTTATCTATATTTCTTCAGGTGCTGACTCTTTTATCCTATGTGTAAACTATCCCTCAAAGCTTTGTTTCATCTGCGAATCATGCAAGCATATTATCTATGCCTCTATCCAAATCCTTGGTCAAAATGTTGAACACCCAGGGCTGAGGGTTTGAGAATAGACCATAGAAAATCTCTCTCTCTCTTCCCTTCCTTTTCCCTCCCCTCCCCTCCCCTCTCCTTATCTCTCCTCTCCTCTTTTCTCCTCTCCTTACCTCTCCTCTCCTTACCTCTCCTCTCCTTACCTCTCCTCTCCTCACCTTTCCTCTCCTCTCCTGTTTCTCTCATTCTGTTTCTTTCTCTTTCTCTCATTCTCTATCTCTGTTGCTCTCTCTTTCTCTCTTCACTCCAACTCATTAGAGGCTAGAAAGAACACTATATTTAGAATCAGGGCACTTTGGCACTTCCTACCTGTGTGACCTTAAGCAAATCCTTTAACTTCTCCAGACCTTAGGAACCTCGCCTGTAAAATGAGGGGGAGGATGGATGAAATGAATTTGGAGGTACTTTCTGGCTCTAAAGCTATGGTCCTCTGCCTACTTCTAGGGTCTGGTTATTCAGTCAGTTATGAATACATCTAACTGTACTACTGTCTAGCCCATGCCTTATCTTGTCCAGAAGGATAGTATGAGAACCTTTGTCAACTGCTTTGTTGAATTTGGGATATTTGGTGAATCTGTTTTAAGTTGCCAATTTCTCGCCTAGTGCTAAGATTCTATGTCCTATTTTTTAAGGTTCCTCCTAGCTCTGACATCCTCTACCCTATGATCTGAGGTCCCTTACAGCCCTGGCATTACATGGTTCCATGATGGCAGAACATGAAGTACTTGGCTCTGTCTGCAACAAGATTTACTTCACATGTGTCAATTCCGGGTTGTTCAGCTCTGAAGAGAGTGACTGAATTATGCTGGGAAATGGTGTTTTCTAGAGAAGCTCTGCAAGGGTGAAGCAGCTGGGATGGTTTGAAGCTGATGACAAGTGAAGGCAGGAATATGGACCATGACCATTAATAGGACCCTGGTAGAATGAGGGAAGGTTACCTTCTTCCCACAGCTAAGGACATGTGATGTTCTCTAAGTGAGTCTGACCTAGTCTCCCACTGCCTCCACCATGAATTACCATCATCAGAAGAGAATACTACTCCAACTGGAAGACCATATGGCCTGCCTCTAAGTGACCAGCCAGGAAGTCAGGCCAGGGAGTTGTCTCCCATGGAGCCAAGAAAATAAATACAAACAGTCCCCTATTATAAAGTAGATGGATGAGTATGGAATTCCCCCCCTCAGTGTTCCTCATCCCAAACACTCTGTCCCTTCCTGGCCTTACACCCTTAGCCGTACAAACAGACAGCACAGTTGTAAATAGTCAGAACTGGGAGGGAACTTGGAGATCATCTGTAACATTCTTGTCTCACAAATTGGAATAGCTGAGGGGGAGGGGTGGCACGAAACATCAGAGCAAGAAGAAACTTTAGCACATAAAATGTTAGCACATAGAAAGCAAGCTGGAAGGGGCCTCCTATACAGCATTAATCACTAACTTCCTCATTTGCCGGAAGGAAACTAAAGGGCAGAGCAGGGAAATGACCTAACCAAGCTCATGAGGCAAGCTGCCTAGAAATGCTTCATGCAACAGAGAGAACTTGTGACAGAGTTGAGCTTAGAACCCAGGGCTCCTGACACTCAGGACTGAGTCTTTTCCCTGCACATGGGAGTCTGCAAAGCAACTGGCTAAGTTTTCCAAAGTCACCTTCTCCAAGAAGCCTCTTGGATTAACCCTACCTTGTTCAGATCCCTTCCCTTCTTTTCACTGTAGACTCAGTCTTCCCTATGAGATTTGAATCCGTACTTAATTGGAATCATATTGTAAGTAATCTTACAAAATGTATGTGCATGGCAGATCCCAAGTAGACTTGTAGGTTATCTGGGTTCAGGGGCTATATCTCCCCACCAGACTAGAGCATATCTGAGGTCAGGGATTGTATGTTCCCCCCATCCTAGACTGAGGGCTCATTGAGGTTATGAGCTGGGCCTCACCCTCACACCAGGAGTCCTTAACAGTAGTAGGCACATGTTTTCCTCAGACTAGAGGCTGCCTGAGGGCAGAGTCAGGTCTTCCTCCTCCATCTATCTCCCCAGTCCATAGAAGGGGTGCTCAAGGCCCCTGAGACTCAGCTGAAGCCTAGAGTCAATGGTAACACTGGTCCACTGGACAAAAGACCTTGTGGTCAGGGATACTTTGGCCTCCATGACTTGCATGTGGAAAGAGAAACCACAAAACACAATTTGGCTGAGGGCATTGGCTCAAAGAACCAATTTCAGCTACTGACCCCAGCTTCTCTCTGGCTTTTTGCCCCTGTTGTGATTAATAAGCGTGTTATTGTTTCAAAGTAATCATTTCTTCTGGTCATCAAGATTCCTATGGTCTCCAAGGTCCAGCAATGCATCCTTTTGCTTCTAAGCACCATTCCATATGTAGCCTCATAGGCGTCCATCTGCTAGCATTTACACATCATTTTAGGTTGGCAGAGTGCTTTACAAGTGTTATTTCATATGACCTTCACAGCAATCCTGTGGTTTAGGTGCTATTTTTATTCCTATTTTATGGATGAGGAAACTGAGTCTGAAAGAAGTGACTTGCCCAGAGTCTCACAGGTAAAAAGTATCTGAGGTCACATTTGAACTCAAGTCTTCCTGACTCAAAGGTCAACACTCAACCGTACCATCTACATAATACCATCCTCAGATTACAGTGTATACATAGCCTGGCATTGGTTTCAACTAGCCTCTGATGGTTTCTTATATCTAAGTTTTAACTACTCCCAAACTGGGAGCCACTTGAAATCAGGAACTCTAGAATATAGACATGTCAGAGCCAGAAGGGGACTCAAGAACATGGCACATATAAGAGCTAGGAGAAAACAGAATAAATAACACAATGTCTGAGCTGCGTGTGGCCTTAAAACATAGCTGTGTTGTGCCCCATTGTTGGGGCAGCTAGGTGGCACAGTGGATAGAGCACCAGCCCTGGAGTCAGGAGGACCTGTGTTCAAATCTGGCCTCAGACACTTGATACTTACTAGCTGTGGGACTCAGGGCAAGTCACTTAACCCCAACTGCCTCACACACCAAAAAAGAACATAGAATGTTGGCACCCAAGGAGGCCTCATAACCAACACAAGTCACAGAAAATCAAAGCTAGAAGGATCTTCTGGGGAATTTGAAAGGTAGACTATAGAACAAAGAGCATCAGAGCTGGAAGGGCCCTAATAGGAACCATCCAATCCAGTTCTCTCACTTACAGGGGAGGAAACTGAAGGCCAAAAAGGGAAGATGAATTGGCCAAGTCCATAGGGCAAGTTACTGGCTAAGGAAGAGCTGGAACCTCAGTCTTCCATATCTTTTCATTAAACCACCTTGCCTTACCATTTTCCCCTATATCCTTCACAGAGTCCAGCACAAGGCTGCGCATAGCTAACTCTCCATTCAACAGTCTGTATCTTATCCTTGGGGCAATGAGAAGCCAATGAAGGTTATTGAGCAAGGGAATGGAATTATTTAGACCTGTTCCATAGAAAGATTATTTTGTCAGCAGTTTGAAGGATGGGTTGGAGAAAGGAGACACTGGAGGTAGAGAGACTAGTGGGGGAGCTCTTACAGTAGCCCAGATGAAGTGGTTGGCAACAGGGAGGGCAAACGAGGAGAGAGATTTGAGAGATATTGTGGATGTCAGATAGATAGGACTTTGCAATGCACTGGACATGGAGGATCAGGGAGAAGGAAGAGGTAAAGATGTAGGACATGGACCTTTGGGGGTCAGGGAGGTATTACAAAGGGGCCATGAAAACAGAAGTAAACAAACATCACTATGTCTTACACATATGTTTTTTTTAAATCACCTTTTAAAAGTTTTCTTTCTTATTCTCCCAGGGTGCAATGAATAGAGTGCTGAGCATGGAGTCAGGAAGTTCTGAGTTCAAATCCAGCCTCAGACACTAGCTGCATGACCCTGGGCAAGCCAACCTCTGCTTACCTCAGTTTCTTCATGTGTAAAATGGAGGTAATAATAGCACCTACCTCCCCATGGTTGTTGTGAGGATCAAATAAGAAAATAATTATAAAATGAGCTTAGCACAATGCCTGACACATAATAGGTGCTATATAAATGTTAGTTATTATTGGGCCACAAAAGACTTGTCCAACTGAATTATTACTACTCACTTCTGGTGAGTCATGGTAAAATGATTCTTCCAGTATAGAGGCAGCATTGTACAGTGGACAAAATGATGAATTTCAAGAGAGAGACAGAGACAGAAAGAGAGAGAGAAACATTTCCATTTACAAAGTAGAATAGAAAAAGCGGGTTATATGTGAAATCATGAATCTCCTTTATATATCGGTTGCTTTACCAAAAAAAAAGTATGCAATAAATTCAACATACTGTTGTGTATTACTCTTTTTAAAAGATATCTAGATGTTCTTGTGAGGAAGATAAAAGGACAGTTCTTTCCAAAGCATGGCTTTATATCATCGTGAACTTTTGTGATCACTAGATGCACCAACAGAGCCACTCTTACCATGTGAGGCTCTGCCAGATCTGGCTTTCAGAATGATGTCTCATATTGGAAAAGGTTGGGAGCCACCACTCTTTAGAATCAATGGTTTGATTGGCTACTGCCCATTTGTTCTTTGTTTTTGTGACTGTGTTCCCCACCTCTTCCCATTCCACCATTCTATGTTGTCCAGTCATCTCTATTTCCCTTTGCCAGAGCTGGCATCTGAATCTGACTGATCCCTGATGGGCAAAAGGGATACTTACTTTTTAAAAAAATTAATAAATTTATTTTTAGTTTTCAACATTCGCTTTAATGAGATTTTGAGTTTAAAATTTTCCCCCCTCCCTCCCCCTTCTCCAAGACAGCATGCAATCTGATATAGGCTATACATGTACAGTTATATTAGACATATTTCCACATTAGTCATGTTGTGAAAGAAGAATCAGAACCAAAGGGAAAAACCACGAGAAAGAAAAACCAACAACAAAAAAGAAAATAGTCTGTTTTGCTCTGCATTCAGACTCCACAGCTCTTTCTCTGGGTGTGGATGGCATTTTCCATCCTGAGTCTTTTGGAATTGTCTTGGATCATTGCAGGGATACTTACTTTTGATGAACTGTATCACAGTAAGGTCTGGGGCAATCTGAGCCTCTCCATCCTTTTCTTTCTCTGGGGAGTTCCTTGTCCCCTGCTTGTTGAGAGAGCTCTCTCCCTATAAAGAAGCATAAAGGGATTGTCAAGGGGAGTGCCGGGTACTTTTCCTTTAGCATTCTCCATCTGGGGCTGGCCATGTTTTCAAAGGGGATGGAGCATGAGGGAATGGAAGGGATGGTGCAAATGGGACGGTAACAACAAGGACAGGCAGCAAACTTTTCATCATCTCCTGTGGCACTGCTTTCATTCTAAGGTGGTTATAGCACATTCATCATCACCACCACCACCACCCCACACCACCACCACCACCACCATCGTTAAGGCCTTGATTGTCCCATCACTATTCTCAGTAAGCCAGGACCATGCAGCTCCCACCAGAGAATGGTCCTATTCAGAGGTGTTGTGAGACTCAAATGAGACAATGAATGAAAGCACTTTGAAGCTATAAAGTGCTACAGAAATGCCAGTTATTATTATCATTAGTCATCAGGCCTCCAGTCTGGTGATGACTTTCATTCCCTGAGCTTTCTACTGCACTTCAGCTAAGGTTAAGTCTAAAGAGAAACACAGGGTGTGTTGGCAAATGTTTAACAACTGGGGCTGGGGTGATGAGGAAATATGCACACCAACTTTTAAGTCTAACCTTCATTATTAATACTTTCGTAAGTTGAGACAATCAATGAAGTAATAAATCAAGCCATGACCGAAAACTTAACAATCAGCTCTCCCAAGCTAGTTAGAGCTGGTTCCAGCACACCCTTGGATCTGTCCCAGAACACTACCCTGTTCATTTGGGATTCAATCACCTGAGTGTACTGGAGAAGGCTCATTTGCTCCGTCTATGATCCAGTCCCATTCTCAGCCAATCAGAAAGCCTTCTGATAGTAGGGCAGGTATTCAACTATCCCCTCACCCAAATCAGGACAAAGAAGAGGAAATTCAAATTGGTATTCAGCACCTTAAAAACCAAAATAATTCAACCTGGAATAGGCTACTTAGGGCAGCTAGGTGACACAGTAGATAAAGTACTGGACCTGAAGTTAGGAAGACTCATCTTCTAGAGTTCAAATCCAGCCTCAGACACTTACTGTTTGTGTGATCCTGAATAAATAAGTCACTTAACCCTCTTTGCCTCAGTTACTTCATCTGTAAAATGAGCTGGAGAAGGAAATGGCAAACCACTCCAGTATTTTTGTCAAGAAAACCACAAATAGGGTCATGAAAAGTCAAACATGACTGAAACAATGGAAAAACATGACCCCTTTCCTTATATCAGAGGCTTCAGGGGTTGCTACCTCAATTTCTCAAAAGCTTGGAAAAGTAAAGGAACCTTCTAAAGGTTAAACTGTGGTCAAACTGGGCAATCCTTTTGACCTGGTTTTGGTCTGAGTCTACTTCTGGCTTCTGTAGGGTATGGTTGTGTATAAGATGGAACAGGAGAAGGCTTTGAGATGAAGAATGAGAGGAAGGGACTATGAATGTGAAGCAGAGGACTTGGGAGCTGTGAAGGATCCCAGTGTTAATATTTGAGGAGGGAAAATTTGGAAGGACTGAGAAACTGAAGGACAAGGAGAAAGATTTAAATTAAAAGAGGAGGTAAAGGTAGGTCACAAGGCAAATTGATAAGACAAGGTTAGTAACAGAAGAGAAAGGAGGATGGGTGAAGCTGCCAAGGTGCTGTTTAAGGTTAAAAGGAGAATGAAAAACAAGGCCCCGAAGCACTTTTTTCATTATATAATTTCAGTTGTTGTTATTCAGTCATCTTTGAATTGTCTGACTCTTTTCGGCCCCATTTGTTTTCTTTTTTCATTTTGTTTGTTTGTTTTTTTGCTTTTTGGTGAGGCAATCGGGGTTAAGTGACTTGCCCAGGGTCACACAGCTAGTAAGTGTCAAGTGTCTGAGGTTAGATTTCAATTCAGGCCCTCTTGACTCCAAGGCTGGAGCTCTACCCACTGAGCCACCTAGCTGCCCCTCCATTTAGGGTTTTCTTGACAAAAATACTGGAGTGGCTTGCCATTTCCTTCTCCAGCTCATTTTACAGATGAGAAAACTGAAGAAAACAGGGTTAAGGGACTTGCCCAGGGTCATACAGCTAGTATGTGTTTGAGGCTGGATTTGAATTCAGGTCTTTCTGACACTAGGCCTGGTGCTTTATCCACTGTGCCACCTAGCTGGCATTTTCTTTGTCAAAATTTAAACAGTTGATAAATTTGTAACTTGCTTCAATGAAATCATTATTCAAAATATTAAGGAAGAGACCAGAGGAGCTGCTCTCTCAGACCTGGTCCTGAACAATAAGGAGGAACTAAATGCTGAAGTGGGAAAGACAGGAACCCTCAGGGGCAAGTGATTTTTCCATTATAGAGTTCATTATCAAGAAAATGAAAGTGGTGCCTACTCTGACATGCACCATAGATTTTTGGAAAGCAGATTTCAGAGAGCTCAGAGAAGGCATAGGAAGAGGCCGGTGGTTTCTTATTTTGTAGAAACTAGACCAAGAAGGGTGGGAAGTTCTTAAGCAGAAACAATTCAAATAAGGAGAAGAGAAGGGAGCTGCCGATTAAAACTGATCTGAATGCAAAGAGACCTTATGACAAAGTCACATTTTTAAAACCTATCTCCAGAAGATGGAAGCAAAGATAAATGACCGGGGATGAATTTTTATTCAGTCATGTCCAACTTTCTGTGACCCCATTTGGGGCTTTCTTGGCAAGGACATTGGAGTGGTTTGGCATTTCCTTCTCCAGCTCATTTTACAGATGAGGAAACTGAGGCAAACAGGGTTAAGTGACTTGCCCAGGGTCACACAGTTATTACGTATATGAGGCCAGATTTGAACTCGGGAAGATGAGTCTTCCTAACTTCAGGTCCAGCACTCTGTTATCCACTGCACTCCCTAGCTGCCCCCTCATCATATCCCAGTGCCTCCCACGGCATGTATCCTGGATATGACAGAACCACAAAAGACTTGACAAACTGATGATTACTGTGTATTTCTAGGGGCTCATGGGAGTAAAAATAAGAATGCTAATAGGGAGGTGGCATTATTCAGTGAGAAGGGGGATGAATTTGGAGTAGGAGAATCGAAATTTGAATCCTAGCTCTGTCATTCATAATGTGTGATCACGGGAAAATCACTGAACCTCGCTGAACTTCAGCCTCCTCATTTGCAAAATGAAGGAGTTGAATCAGATGACCTCTAAGATCTCTTCTAGCTAAAGTTCTCTGATCCTATGAAACTATCCAAAATTGCTAAAGATTATGAAGTTTTGGGGAAGCAACTCAAACCTTTGGGGACACAAGCGGCATTTTCAGCCTTGCTCTGGATGAAAGGCAAGGGCTTCAGAAGAGGAAGGAAAACTTAGGAGATAAACAATTGGTTAAGAAAACAGAGTCTGGGAATGAGAATTGTATTTCTGGACAGTAGCCTAAAATACAGGCATGACAGGCTGCTGGCCAGCAACTGAGTACCCCTAATAAGAGCTGGCAAAAATGCGTTTGCCTAGAGAAAGCTAATAAATAGATCATTACGATGAAGATGGAGGGAGAAGGAAGAGGGAGATGGAGAGGGAGAGAGAGAAGTAGAACATTTGTTCAGTCTTCGCTATGTGCCAGGCACTGTGCTAAGTGCCAGGGTTACAAACACAAGTAACAAGCGAGCAGGTTTCTGCCTTCACAGAGTATGCATTCTAATGGGTCTCTCTAGGGTAATTGGTGAGGAAGGGGAAAAGAAGTAGAGAGGGTGTAGCTGGGCAGAGGGAGAAGACAACCTGTGGAGTACCACCAAACTAGTTAGCATAAAAAGAAGCCGCAACATAGAAAAAACAGCAGTAGGGATACCCAGAAATTCAAAAAAGGAGCCAATAACAAAAAACATATGGCCTTAGATATCTATACAAAAATGCACAAAGTATGGGTGAACTAGAGATCCTACTTCAAGGAGAAAATATGATCTCAGAGGTCAAAATATCTATCTATCCAATACATTGTGGGAGGAGATCCAAGACCGGAATATGACACTGGATGACTATACTGTATTCAAAAGGCACAGGATAAGCAAAAGGCTGGGGAGGGAGCGCAGATGGCAGAGTAACCTTATATATTAAAATGGTGAGGAATTTCAGGAACCAAAGCTGGGAGGCTGGGGGAAAGGGGAGGAAGTGCTGCAAAGAACATCTGGATGAAAGGATGCAACGGCACAGTATCAGGGTGTGCTGCAGAAAGGTTCTTGGCCAGGTATGGGTTGGACTGCCTCTGAGGCTGCTCCCAACTCAGATTTAGTGATTCCAGCTCTGACATTCTTGTCTCTGTTCTACATCTGTAATTTCCTTATTCTCTTGATGTTCACGCCCTCAGTTCTGGATCACCGGCACCATTTGCTTTGTCCGCTACTATTTCCCTAGACACAGACGCTGCCAGAGGAAGACATGAAATCTTTTAGGCTTTAACCACTATAAATTCAAATCATCTAATTTCAACTGGGCCCTCAGCACTCCTCAGCAGTTCTTTTATTTATTACTGACTCTATGTCACATTCCCTACAGTTTCTATTTCAAATATCGTCCCTGAGCTCCCACCTTCACCTCCCCCCACCCATTTCTCAGCAGGTGCCTTTGCGCCCCACTTTGCTTGACTCTCCATTGTATCATATTTATCTCTGTAAATGTCTTACACCTCATGCCCTCAGCAGACTACAAACTCCTTGAGATTAGGGACTGTGTCATTTTGTTTAACCTTTGTATCCCCAGTGCCTTGTACCTAGAAGGCATGAAATAAATGCTTATTGAATTGGACTGGATTTAACTTTGGGATCCCTTCTACCCTTGCCACTTCATGATCCACTAATGTGCAATGAACCTAGTTGTCTCTCCATTCTATTTCTGAGGCTTCTGGCTAATAGAACTGGAAACAGGAAAGATTGCACCATTGCTTCTACCAGGCTTCCAGCATCCCCATCTGGGCCCGGTTTGCCTAGGTCAGCAGGACTAGGGAAGTTAATTAGTGCTTCCTCTCCAGAGACGTGATGCTGACAGATGCAGGACTGGGCCAGGGGTGAGG